AAGTATCACATAATTTTCTTTCCTTAGTAGGTTACTTTCAGAATCAGGACTTAACTCCAGCATTTTCTCCTTTGATTAATTTACACAAGCAAGAGAAGTCAAAGATGATCTTGTTAATATTCTCAAAGTCAAATTTCAAAACTACAGATGTAATAAGGTATTTTCCTCACTGTAATAGTTGCAGCAGAAATGCAGACAAGTCAAAACCAAAGGAGAAGATATTGAGGTAAAGAGCCTAAACCTGCATTTTCACTATGCTGCCTGCATCTTTCATAAAAGATTAAAGGCTACTTAAAATGTGTTTTAAACACCAGAAAATTAAGTGCACATAATTTCTACAAGTGTGTTATTTTAATGGTCTTATAAGTATATTGTAGCATGTATTAATTATAACATTTAACTGTACATGCACATCATTCTCCAGCTTGCTTTTTACTTCATGGTTGCTAAATATCCTGGAAAATATGCACTTAATCTATAACTACCCTAAGGTGCCTGATTTTTTTCCCTTTTATACAGTAGTCTAGATCATTATATTTTGACCTAATGGCACCATTCCGGATTGGATGGGTCACATTATCAAGCCATAAAACAAGCAAATAATTGTGTATGATTTTGCTGTATTTCTGGCTTCCTTTCCAACTCCGCATCACTTCAGGCATCAACAACAAAATGGTTTAGTGTTACTGCTTGTAACTTTTCAAGATTAAAAAAGACCCCCAACCATTTATGGTCACACAGTGAATTGGAATAACTGAGACAGTATTATGCTCTCATTTGTCAGGAAATCTGACAATGTTTTAAACAAGAATTGGGTGCCAGATGACTGTTCTGCAACTAATTCTGGAACAAATGTCTGCATGATCTACTAAAAGTGCTCTTCCTTGCCAGCAAGGCTTTCTAATAAGATATTCATGAGTAATTAGGAATCTATAGGCATGATTAAATCTTAATCTACAATCTGCAGGATGAATGTTTAGGCTGAAGTACGGCAAACTGGAAGAGAACTCAATCAGAGATCCCGCTAAATTCAAGAATTTGGCTGGCATTTGGCAAAGCTGAAGCTCTGATTTAATTGTGAATTCTTCAGACTGCACTGGTTTCCACTGGGCAGCTAACTCCTGCAGATCAGTTCCACAGGCCTCTGCTTACAGCCCTGCATGCCTCAGTACCAGCATCAAATATTTAACACAAGGTGGGTACATACTGGTTATTTCTAATGAAACTTCAGACTATCATTGCACCTCTTAAACACTGGATATAATTTGCCTTTATTTAAAAGGTCATGTACATGATACATATGTACTACACAAGCTATCCAGCAGCTAATTACACTTAGTCAAGCAATTTTCTGACTAACTTCCGTTTTTTCCTCAATACCAAGCAGTTGTTCTGTAAGTAATGCCACACAAAGGTCTGGGAATAGCTGGTTCTAAGCAGCCTGGAAACAGAACTGTAAACACAAGAGACACCGACTGAAACTACTGAAAAATTCATTTCCTCTTGTTGTTATAAGAGGTGCATTGGCTTACACAAGGGCACTCATAGCCAGGACAAAACTCCCCAACTTTCTGCACATAGAGTATCCTTCCAGTTCCACAAAAGTTATGTGCTTGGCACAGTATGAAGAATGCAGTCTAATAACAAGCTGCCATGGTTTAACCCCAACTGGCAACTAAGTACCACACAGTCCCTCACTCACTCACTTCTGCCCCCCGCAGTGGGATAGAGAAAAGTGTCAGAATAAGGTAAAGCCCATGGGTAAAGAACAGCCCAATAACTGAAATAAAGAAAGTTAAATATGATAAGAAGAATAAAAGCAAGAGAGGATTAAAACTCAAGTAATGCCAGTGATGCGCAATACAATTGCTCACCACCTGCTGACTGATTCCCAGCCTGACCCAAGCAGCTGTCAGTGGCTCCTGGCCAGCTCCCCCAGTTACTATACACCGAGCATGACGTGCTCTGCTATGGAATACCCCTTTGGCTAGTCTGGCACAGATGTCCTGTCTCTGCTCCGTCTCAGCTTGTGCCCCTTCTCGCTGGCTGAGCACGAGAGACTGAAAAGTCCTTGATCAGAGTAAGTGCTATTGAGCAACAACTAAAACACTGGTGTGCTATCAGCATTGTTCTCACACTAAAGCCAGAACACAGCACTGTACCAGCTACAAGGAAGAAAATTAACCCAGCTGAAAGCAGGGGACAAGCTAAACGTGGGCTAACACTAAAAAGGTGTTTAAAGAAACTGTTTCTGTAACTAGCTAGGCAATTCCACCATACGTGGCCACTGTTCACACAGGCAGAGCTACACTGAACACAAACATTTCAGTTCTCTAATCACTATCAGCTGAAGATTTCAAAGAACTTTGGAAAAATACATAGGAATATCCATTTTATGGATAGGAAAACAAAGCACAGACACTTAGGAGAGCATGAGTTGCCTGAAAAGGATACAAGTAAAATCTTTCTTCCTCAATCTCACAAAATTAAAATTCTCTGAAATTAACAGAAAGACTCACAAATCACTATACTTAGCCTTGGTTCACATCCATGCTGCTAATTTTAAAGAACTATGAAGACCTTCAGTGTCATCTTGAAGTATATATGCTAATATTTTAGCAGCCAGCAAGACTGAAAGAAGATCTAGCACAAAATAAACTGCCAATAGAAAAAAAAAACAAGTAAAATTAGGCACATGAAAATGTAATTACTACACAAAACATGGACATAACACACAAAAGTCACCAATTACAGTTTTCCGAAACAGAGGAACAGATTTTGCTAGACTTGCTCATGAATCTTCAGGTTCTCAGAACATCTTCAGAGAGGAAAGAAATCTGAATATATTATGAAAATAAATGAAAGTGCATTTGGAAAGATCCTCAATATTTATTACAGAAAAAAAATAATACTATTTTTCAGGCAATATGGTTTCTCGGCTAATATCCATTCCTCAAATTAACTGGATCACAAATTTCAATACTCCCAATTAATCTTTCTCCATCCCAAAAATCAAACAATCACATTGACAAAGGTGTGAATTCAGGTGGTTTCTGTAATCCCAATTTACATACAAGCATTAAGAAACAGTCTTTAGTAATAAAATCGTACATTAGAGTTTTCAACAGGTCCCACCATCTCACCTGCAGGTGATTCACTAAAGTTTTGCCTCTTCCAGTGAAAGCTCGGGGTTCCTGTGTGGTACTACACAAAGTATCCTTAATGATCCATAGTGCCATGTAAAGTTTACACACTAGAGATACTGGGGAAGATACACAGACACAAGCAAAACACACCTGAAGCTGAAGTAAAGAGCACAGTTTTCTGAACTCAGTACGTACAATAGGATCCGAAGGGCCCTAAAAATCCAATCTTATGTCTTAAAATGTGCATCCAAATTTGGTGAAATTTTTCTGCCCTTAATCTTTGTCAAGTCCCCATCTGTAAAACAGAGATAATACCGCATCCCTCACTGGGGTTTTGTGGAGATTAATTTAAAACCTGTAAAGCACTTGGATACAGTAGTGATGAGCAGCACAGAAAAGCCTATGAGGAAATTAATAATTCTGAGTTCTGAGCAGGGTCTGAAAATAAAGCTTAGGGCCACATGTCAAACACTGAGGATAAACCAACACTGTGAATAGCTGGGCACTGTCCATCTTGGGTACTGAGTTAACAAGGAAGTCTTCTGGAAAAGTGTGCTCTTACAGACTTCATCATAATGCATAGCATAAGAAAAGCTGAATTTAGGTTGCAATGCCAGTCTTAACATTACTCCCCCCCCCCCCCCCCCCCCCCCTTTCTGCTTGCTTTTGCATTCTTAATAATGCTCTCTCCATGCTGTTTGTACTTGTAACATTTATATACAGAGAATGAGTTATGATCTCATTGTGAATCTCTGATTTCCATGCCCAGGCGGTAATGAACAAAGCCTGGTTAAAAAAATCCCATTAGAAAAATAAAATACGAAGCTTGCCTAGGCTTGGTAAATCCAGCAGGGCTTCTGCTGCATTTTCTCTTCAATTGCTTGAAATGGTCCTTGTGCTACTTCTGTTAACATTTACTGTGTATTGCCATAAGAGACTTGGGAAGGGAAAATGTATCAGGGGACTGTCCTTTCAATTTTTATCACAGGCATTCAATTTTAATTCTCAACAATAACAGCAGCTGACATGTTCCCTTTGCCAGTTCCTGGGAAAATAAATCAGGCAGAAATTAAGAAGCACACATGGGAATCAAGGAGAAATAGCATCTCCCCAACATGCTCCCCCAGTGCCACCTTCCTCTTCCAAAAAATGCCCCTCTGCCCCTTGTAGGAGCAGATAATGGAACATCTTATGAGGGTTTATATGCAAGTGTTTTTCCAGTGATAACAATTGCAACAGCCCTCCTACAACAGAAAGAGCCCTGAGCAGACAGGCCGACAGTCTGTGACCAAAGCCAGTAGACTCCAGTCCTGATTTCATTTCGATGACATGTAAGTTGCTCATTAAAAACAAAGAATTACACCTACCAATAGAAAATCAGAACCAGATCCTACAAGTTTTCTAGAACTCAAGTACCACAATAGCATAACGCATTCAAGTTAAAACAATTTTTTTGAATGCTAAATAATTTGAAAGTGATCACGTATTTATTGATCATGTGAAAAAAATAAAGTGGATTTCCCAGAGAAAAAGGCACAAAACCTTAAGCAAGTAACATTCTCTTTCAACTGATTTCTTCAGTGTAAAATAATCAATGCTCAATATCACCAAGCTAAGTGAAATCTATTATATTCCACCTAAAATATCTCTCTTCAGAGAGTACTCAGAAGAAATTCTTTGCTCAAACTGACATCAAGTTCACTACACTTTGTCAACAAATCTTATCCATTTAGAACAATTTTTATAGTAATATAAAGCTGGAAGATGTTGCACCTGGAATATTCCATCTTCTCAAAAGGGCAACAGAAAGCCAACATCTTTTAAATATTTAATTAGGGCTCAAATCAAACTTACACAGGGATATGCCACGTTTTCAGCTAGCGATGCAGACAAACATCTCTGCATATTTTCAGTACTTGAAAGGACAGTCATTTCCATTTCACTTTCCTTTCAGAACGTCCCCAGAGGTTTTCACACTACTGTGCATCATTCCCCGTGCTTCTTTTAAGTTTTTATTTAACAACTTTACTGTTGATACAAGTAGAGACATTACAGTTTGAACAGTAAAACAGTAAAAAAAATAATTTGGTAAACCATCAAAGTTTGAGATATGCCCTAAAATAATTGTATTTGCCTTCAGCAAACATTTTGTTTGAGTTTTGAACAAAAATGCTGATGGAAGCTAATGAAAATTACTCCAGCTTGAAATGCTCTGACAGCTGTGCTATCTAGCAAGGGATTTCCCTGGGAATTTCCTCATTTTCCTTCACTAATTTAGGAAAGGTTTATTCAAAAGTCTCTTAGAATGCACAGAAGTACAGGATCACGTAGTATCTGGTCATGGGAAGAAAGTGAAAATGTAGGTAAGAAACTTAAGTTCTGGCATCTTGAAATGGTAAATGTTTACCCATGAATCAGGAGTCTTTTAAATAATGTAACCTTTTCTACCAAAAAAAAAGAAAAAAATAAACCCCGAACGTGCAATTTAATCACAAAATTAATAATAAGAACTTTATGAGTCCTCACTTCATGAGCCTCTGGATAAAAAGCGGGTGGGGAATCCTTAAGAAACTTTCTCATTTTTCCTCTCTATTGCAGAAGTACTTCCTTGCCAAGAAACCAAATTTCAATAAACAGGAAAAAAAAATACACAAATGCAGAACCATTAATATTTTTAATATTAAAACTTTAATAATTTAATAATTTTCTTTACAACCCAGCTGAACCGTGCATTTCTCTCTCCCTTCTGCATTACACAACCAGCAAGTCAAAGGTGCAGAGAGAAGTAGTGGCTATTTTTACAGAACTCCTATGCAAGCTAAAAATGTTGGTTGGGAGGAATCTCTGCAAGAGTCACCTCCAGCCTTGGGACAACAGTGTAACCATGGCAAACACTAGATCATTTCAACCATCACTGGCCACCTGAATCTCCAAGGATGAACATTCTACAACCAATCTCAGAAACTTGCTCTGCAGTAAGTGGAAGAGGTAGATCATGAATGAGCACTGAAGAAATCATCAGGTTTTCAATAAAGAGCCTTATGGGCCACCCTCTTAGGTTAGGTAAGTATTACACCCTAAACTCGTTAGATGGCATCTTGCCAGACTGGCCTCTTGTAACCATCAGAAACATGGAAAGCTGTGTTTTTTCCATCCTCTCCCAATCTCTTTCCACTGCTTCTTTACATGATAAGCACACACAAGTATCCACCTCACCTTCACTGAAACTATTTACAAGTGCACTGAAGAAAGCTCCTTTCACGTTGTTGTAATCAAGTTCTCCAAACTTGTCTCTCGCAATGATACTGGAGAAACTTTTCTCTCTGGTAGAAATAGCTCATATTTTGCTATTTGATTAAACAGAATGCTTGCAGACACGTATATGTATGAACATATACATTAGTTTTAACCACTAATTGGGGCTTAACTCTAAGATGTAGTACTTGTATTTTGTAATTCATTGCTCTAACTGAAGGCCTTTGAGGAACCTGGTCTACTGGAAGGTACCCCTGCCCGTAGCAGGGGGTTGGAACTGGATGAAGCTTTAAGGTCCCTTCTAACCCAAACCATTCTGTGATTGTATGAGGAATGTATACAAGCTGCCACAGCAATAGCTAATCTGTATTGCTGCAGCTGAATACTCAGAATTATTACTTTTACAAAGTACTTTGATATGCCTCTCTTCAGAACGTACAGCACGGGATACTTCACCTCTTGATTTGCCCAGATGAAGCTTCTCAGTTTGTGCCTGTGCCCTGGACATCTGCACTATTAAAGCAGGCAAGTACATTCTGGGGAATCTTTACATTACTGATAAAGAAGCTACTCTGCAGAATAAACAATCTGGGAAGGTAAGTTTGAATGAAAGAGTCGCACAATCTCACAAGAAGTCCCTGAAGCAGTTTCATCACTTGAAATGTGATTTCAGACTCGAAAGCAGTGTGGGGAGCAGCCACATTCTCCCACAGCAAACACTTGTAGTGCTGTGCATGGGGGCAAACGGATCACAGTGACCCCATTTTGCAGATTTCCCTTCTGAAGGGCACAGTAAGAGAACTTTGCTCATGCCTACCCTACTCAGATGGATACTGAACTGGGTTAGAAGGGTAAATCTTTTTCTTCAATTGCTGCATGTCCATAGGGAAAAGCTGGCTAAAATTGCAAAACAACTTTTCACTGAAAAAAACATATCCATGACAAATTATCTGCAGCACTGTACTTCCTGGGAGAAGACAAATCAGAGAATATTATTAGCATGCCATTTATTTACTAACATTTGGTGCACACATATATCCCTGTATCCACACAACAGCAAGAGGTAAAAAAAGGCAGTTCCGTTGCACATTTATTTCTATGTTGGAGAAAACCCTCAGCAAAGCCCATTTCTCCAGCTCGTTACAATCCCCTTTATCTTTCCCATACACTCGTATTCCTTGTCCCTACCGAACACAAACATTTATTGGGCACACAGGAAACAAGTGCAGGCACCAGGAGCCAGAGCTATTACTTTTTCAAGTTCAGAATGCAGAATTTACCCACCCTGGTGCAGGGTGTTCAGGGAAAAGACAGAAGAGAGCCGGATGATAGATGAATCTGGAGTGAGCAATCCTTTATTCTGCAAATAGATCTTGCTAATACAGCAGCATATGAACGATCAGCTCTTCCCCAGAGGCAGCCCTGTTCCCCAGCAAGCTAAGGTATGGAATCTGACATGACAAATATTGATTTCCCCCAAGGAATTTATTTTCCAATCACCAGTGAAGTATTATCTCAAATCAGCAATCAAACTTCAGCAGCACTTTTCATTTAAAGATATTTAAAACTATTATACTGTAGAGATTATAAAATGTAAATAACCGGCTACACCTAAATGCAATACATATTTATATACAATTGTTGAATGCATTAGATCTAAGCGTTGCCCTACTTCATTATTTCTGAATCAACACTTTTAATTTAATTTCTCAGCTTATTTTGGTTTTATTTAATAAAGGCACAATCCAAAGCATTCCACAGGAAGAAGAATTCCCATTATACCAGATCTGACTTATTCACTCTCAGAAATCCTACATATCACATCTATATTGTAGACAGTCTTCTCTGCTGTCATTTGGTGCCAATTCACTTACAGAGTTAAACTAGGTAAATTTTCCATAATTTATTTCACTACTTAGAAGAATTTATAGCCTATTTGCCTATTTCATCAGTCAATAGCACAGGTTTCCCAGACACAGGACTAGTGTATGACCCACATTTAACTAACTTTAATAACAAAGTTCCCCAAACTTGAAGTGGAATAGAAAGAAGATTATAAATAGATATACCCGTTCCATTCAAGAACACATACTCAAGGTTCATTCTATTCAACATGAAAATATCAAACAACATGAAATAACACAGAAACTGGAAAAATTAATTCTTGTGGTATAATACAGCGCTCTGACATTCCTCTGATGTATAAAGGGCATCTACCAGTAAACCCCTTCTAACTGATTCCATTAACTCATTGTCTATTTGTGCAATTTATTTGAACTTGGGGCAAAGAACAACTTCTGCCATCACAAGTAACCCAAAGATGACACTAGTTCATTCTTTGTGTCATCTGATTAACCTTCAGCAGTGAGTATACTTACACTCTTACAGCTAACACATTTTACATTGGTTTTGTAGCAGAAAAACGTTCATATACAAGAGGAGTTAACTAAGTAAACCTTCAGTTTGGTTTCCATACCTTGAGTATGGAAACCTGAATAACAAAACCGTGTGAATTGTTCATTATGGAAGTCAGGTGAGAGCTGGTGATTTGGGTGTCTAAAATCAGGCACTCCTTAAGAACACGTTGCAAGCTCACAGAAAGTCATAATTCATAGAGAAATTAGGTCAGATTGATTTAAAAACAGACAAACTAACATGGTTTAGATGACTATGAAAGATACATAGCAAATGGAAGAACATAAAGCCATTCCCAGCAATACATGAGTCACAACTAAGAAATTGCATAAATGACCAGGGAAAAAAGAATGACATAGAAAAATGAATGGCCAGCAGAGTTTAGGGCACTAAGAAAGATTTCATTAAGAACAGAGAATTTGTAAGTGTTCTGTGTATCTCCATGGTTTCTGGCAGAAATATTAATAGAAATATTAATACAGGAAAAAATAACCCCAACCCAAAAGTATTCACCAAGTATTTGTCTTCAGGAAAAAGCCACATGATGCAGTTGCAACACTAATTAGGGAGAGAAAATTAATCAGCAGTTGCTGAAATTAAACAGATCTGGCTATCTTGCCTCCCAGAATTTGGAGACAGTGAGGCAATCAGCATCAGGAGTGTCAGGAAAAGATTACATTACGCAGCTTTGAAAAACAAGCAAGGAAAACCAAACTCCCTAAACAGGGCAAAAGTCGGATAATTATACTCTTGTTAGCCTGAAATCAGCTAAATACTGGAATGGTTGATATACAACTTGACTAATAAGCAATTAAAGTAAAACTAATGCCATGAAAGATGGATTTATGGGAAATAGAGTTAGCTATCTGGAATATAGCTGTTTTTCTTAAATGCATTTGAAAGCTTGACTGATAAAAAAGGCTACATCTGCAAAATGACATGTTTCCAAAACCAGCTTAGCAGCACAGAGTATTTTCGTTACGGAACTGGAATTATAAAAGTCTAAACTAAATACACAATTGCTTTTTAAATCATTAATAGACATCAATAAATAACCATAAATAGGAATCATCTGGTTTTAGCTGAACACTGCAGAATCTGGCATTTAACACCATATTAGCATCTACTCAAAAGAAAATTTAAATCATTACAGGTAAGACTTGTGCATAACAGACTGAAGAATGCTCTAAAAATACAGTAGGACACTGATGCTAAACAAGATGATGGGTTGAC